TAGCCTATAAAATGGCAGAAGGTAGCCCAGCCCCTCCAGACCCCCTCCTGCCCGAGGGTACAGTCCTGTTCATTCAGGGCCTGAAACCTGGGCTGGGCTGTCTCACTCCCCACATCTCCCACCACTCCTGGACGTGTCCTGGGGGTATTCCCAGGGACTCCTCACCACGGACCTGCCATGTTCCTCCAGACTCCCCAACAGTTACCAAGGTGGGTCGTGTCAGTGCTCCTCGGGGAGGTCTGAGCATCCACTGTGCTCTAAGCCAGGCCCGGCTGGCCCACACTGGCCACTCTGGCTCCCTGAAGCCCAGGGGCACCCTGGCAAGCACCCGGAGATGCCAGCTCTGACCCTGGGCTGCCCAATCCTTGGCATATGTGTTGTTTCTGAGGAACCCCCAAGTCTGCCACCCCCAGACTTCCCCTTGCCTCCCTCACACTGCTCTTTCTCTTCCCACCCATGGGCCTGCATCACCCTCATTCAGCGTCCATCAGGCCACACGGTCTGCCCTTCTCAAGGTACCACCGGCCTCAGGGAGGAGCTCTGTTCACGCCACGCAGGCACCAACTGACCTCAAGTCTGGAGGAACTCTGGGGTGACCCGCTTCCCAGAGCCCTTGGTGAAGCCGCTCACACGGGCCACCTCCTGAGGCTTTCAGGCGCTCCTCACCCCCACCCCTTACTTGCCCAGATCGGGGGTTCTTACTTTGTGTTCAGTGAGGGAGCCCAAGCCTCCTCGTGGCGCCCCCTGTTGGCCCCCTATTTATATAGATTTTCGCGTTTATTGTTAGAACTTTCATTCGGGACTGAAGGGAAGACTGGAAACTGAGGCTCAGAAAGGGCACAGGAAACCGAGGTGGGGCTTGCGTCTCTCCCTCCCTCCCCAGCCCCACCCCCTACTCCATCCCCAGCCATTCAGAGTGACCATGGGCCCACCCGGCTGGCTCAGCGGGCTTCAACCCTGGTGACACCGAGCAAGGAAGAGGAGTTACCTCGCAGGTGCACCCGGAAGAATCAACGCCACCTGCGGGGTCTCCTTCACCCTCTCCCACCCACCCGAGTCAGGCCCGCTCACCGGGCTCTGCAGGATCATGGTGACGCGCTTCTTCTGCTCCATGAGGTTGAAGTCCTGCCGCAGGTCGGCTGCGCGGTTGCGAAGCCGCAAGTACTCAGGGTCCTCCTGGGAGAAGCGGTCAAAGTAATGCTGCCCCTGGGGGGGCGGCGGGGAGGCAGCATCGGGGACCGTCTCTTCACTCATTTTCCCAGCAGGTGTGCAATCTACTCCCGGGACCCTACAGAGAAGGGAAGAGGGTGAGCGGGCAGGGCAGGGCGGTGGGATGCGGTACGCCCAGGAGGGTGTGCACAAGGCAGGGTAAGAGGCCAGGCGTTGGCAGGTGCCTGACACGCCCATATCTGTAGGGGGTACTGTCGCATCACCAGGCTGAGCAAAACGGGGGCGCGGGGGTGGGGGGTGGCTCTAGTGCGGCCACCCTCCCCTAAGTCACTGGCCTGCCTTAAATTGGTCACACTCGGAAGCAGATGGCTGCCCTGGTGGAAAGATGACTGCAGACCCTTCCGGAGTGACTGTTGTGCACGTGGTGAAAAGCTCTTGACTGGGATTAGTGCTTGGCTAAAATGTGCACTTTCAAAGGAGCACCCTCAAAAAATGACAAATAGTTAAATAATTCTTAAAAAAAAATTTTAAGGCTATGATGGAAATTCGCGAAAGGACACTACCTTAACCACAGAGATAACAACTACTAGGTACTACTACTATCATTATTACTGAGAGATTTTTGCTATAAGGCACTTGGCCTTGCCGAAGAGAAAGAGGGAGAGACAGAAAGTGAGAAATCACCTCCTGGGGGATGGCCACACCACAATCCCGTCTCCTCCATTCTCCTCTCAGGATTTTGGGCACTCATGCACACATACCCTGTTTGAGTTTCAAGCCACTGGGTCCAGGACTTGAACCATAGTCAACCACATGGGAGTCCAGTACTGTAACCACCATACCACCTGCTGGTCTCAAACTACTACTATTACAAAAGAGAAAGGAATTACCGAAACAGGGTAACTGTTTTGCTTGGTGTTTTTCTTCAGAGCCTGGGCCTTGCTCTGGCCCCTAGAAAGGGATTATTGGCAAATCTTTTTCCGGAAAATGTGTCTTCATGTAGAATCAGACTCTTATTCCAAGTTTAGAAAGAGATGGGCTATTTTTATTAATGGAAAATCACTTTCTCCCAAGCTCCACTAAATAAAAACTGAGAAATAAAGAATGCATACTGTTTCAAGGGCGCCATGTTGCCCGGCACCCCGAGTCCCACACACCTAGACCATCTCCGAGGGAGGGCCGGGGCAGCCCTGGAGACTCAAGCTGGGGGAAGGCACATAATTTTCCCTCCTCAAGCATCTTTTTTACATGAATGAAAGAGGAATGTAGGAATGTCTTCTGCTGCTGTACTGGAGCCCTTCTGAAGAATAAGGCTGTAGTTCCAGCCTTGCCTCCCCAGCGTCCCAGCTTTGGCCGAGCCAGCCTCCCGTCGCACGTAGGCACTGCCAGGCCCTCATCTGAGTTAAGCCCCCTCAGCACCCAAGGCAGCATCCTAGAGTGAGCCTTCTCCCTGCTAGCTGGTCCCCTTTGCAGCCGAAGAAGGCAGGCACCTTGGCTGGACCAGGACTGCTTGTTGCACCTGTGTGTGCAGATTCCAAGAGCACAGAACAGGATCAGGGCACCTGGATTCTCCACTACAGCGTTCTGCCCTCTTGCTTTATGCCCATGGACTCCCATTCTTTTTCTTTCTTCTTTTGGAGAGGTTTTTGCTATAGGGCGCACGCGCTCGCCAGAAAGACAGAGAGAGACAGAGAGACAGAAAGTGAGAAATCTCCCTCCCGGGGGGATGGCCACGCCTCAATCCCTTCTCCATTCTCTTCTCGGGATCTTGAGCACACACGCACATGCGCCCCGTGTGAGTTTAAGCCACCGGGTCCAGGACTCGAACCGTGGTCGACTACATGGGAGTCCAGTGACATAGCCATTACGCTAACTGCTGGTCCACTGCCAGGCCCTCATCTGAGTTAAGCCCCCTCAGCACCCAAGGCAGCATCCTAGAGTGAGCCTTCTCCCTGCTAGCTGGTCCCCTTTGCAGCCGAAGAAGGCAGGCACCTTGGCTGGACCAGGACTGCTTGTTGCACCTGTGTGTGCAGATTCCAAGAGCACAGAACAGGATCAGGGCACCTGGATTCTCCACTACAGCGTTCTGCCCTCTTGCTTTATGCCCATGGACTCCCATTCTTTTTCTTTCTTCTTTTGGAGAGGTTTTTGCTATAGGGCGCACGCGCTCGCCAGAAAGACAGAGAGAGACAGAGAGACAGAAAGTGAGAAATCTCCCTCCCGGGGGGATGGCCACGCCTCAATCCCTTCTCCATTCTCTTCTCGGGATCTTGGGCACGCACGCACATGCGCCCCGTGTGAGTTTAAGCCACCGGGTCCAGGACTCGAACCGTGGTCGACTACATGGGAGTCCAGTGACATAGCCATTACGCTAACTGCTGGTCCCCCCCCCCCATGGACTCCCATTTCACGAGGGGATGGAGTGTTCTCTCCTTCCTTGGGAGAAGCTCCTGGCCTCCCAGCTCCTCAACTGCCCTTCACTTTCAGTTGGCCAGTCCTGCCCCCACCCCCGCCTTGCCACGGTCCTATCCGCCCTGCCTTAACCTTCACTAGCTCAGCAGCTCGTCACAAACGAGGCCTTGCTGATGGCCAGTAGAGTGCATTCTTGGTGTCCCTGAACTGCCCGTGACCTCTTCTTCCATCTTCTTTCAGGATGGAGGACTCTCCCCTCCATCCTGACAGTCTCCTTGGGTGGGGCGAGTGAAGGATGATGCAACAGATAAGCCCAGAGAGGTCCAGCGGGAGTCTGTCCCTTCAACCCAGAATACCCAGATGGTCTGTGGTTACTGTCGCTATAGTTTGCCCTCCTCTCACTGGGGAAGGTAAATAGCAAGTTCAAGGAAAGATGCATGGACAGGGTCCCTCAAGGGACGGCTGGTGGCCTGAAAGAGAACCATGGCTGATGGAGCAGTGGTTCCCTTGGGTGTGCACTGGAATCACTTGGGGAACTTTCAAAACTACTGATGCCAGAGATTCTCACATGATTAGCCTGGGGCCTGACCCAGAAATCCGGATTTATAAAAGCTCCCTGGGCGATGGAAGTAAGCGGCCAGATTGAAACGCAGGGCTGGATGCTAGTGAGGTAGGAGACGTCCATTCCAGGTGTTGGCCATTTCTGGCAAAGACAACAAAGATGATGCAAAGCCTCATGGTTTCCATCACTCCTGCCACATGTGGCTTCCTCTAGCTGCCCAGGCCCCTCCTCCCGCTTAAAAACCAACACCTGCCACCAGGCACTTGGCCTGGGACAGCAAGAGTGCTCCAATTGCCACCACGGTCCACATCTGCAAGACCCACAGTCGCTTCTAATTGTGACCCCTGATCTTAATTTTGTCAGTAATTGGTCATCTCCTTCTGAAAGCCCTTACTAGATCTCTACAACTAGTGCCACCCCTACCAGTGGCATTGAGGTGTTTGGCAACAGCAGGTGGGGATGGGAGGCTGGGGTTGGGGAAAG